ATCTAATCTCTAAACTTCTTCAGAATCTTAAGTTGGACAAGATCGATCAAAAGGCCAATGAGGTCGCGCACCAATTTGCGAAAAGTAGTTTCGATAATAGGTCGAAGGATATTCTTTGTAATAGCTTTCCGCCCCGCATGGCTAATGCTGTAATAAATGGTTGTAATAACATTTTACTTAATTGATATGTGGAAGGCCTTTAAAAAACATGTATCCAATCCCGCGGTAACACGCGAGGTTGTTGGAGATATGCCCTAGAGGAAATCATGTATGATGATAGTTTCTATGTGTTTATGAATAAAGAGTCCTTGGACGTTATCAATGATATGTATCAACAAGTACATGACTTATTTGTGGGACTATGCATTGTATGATGACTGCCCTAAAAGGTCTCTAGTCGAAAGGGATGTGTGGATGCGCAGCCAACAAGACTAGCATATGACACGGTGGATGGCTCGTTCTCACAAACCATAGAGCATTGGATGTTAGCCGGATAATGTGGACTCGGAAGAATCTGGTCGAATCGACCTAGGCGGATCCGAGTTGAGGTAAGATCCGAGTCGGACAAACCCAGCTATGAGACACAGCGATATGTCATCTGTGAGTCTCTAGTACAACATACGTTCTATGTCCTAAGACCTGAGCTGCCGCATGTACTCGGGATGGTGACATACCTGCTTTGGGCCGACCAAACGCTACTCCGTAACTGGGTAGTTACAAAGGTAGGTTTTGGACTTGTCCAGACCCATGTTGCGAGACATGGTCAAGCAAGATGGGGTTTGCCCCTCCGATCAAGAGAGATATACTTTGGACCCCTCGTGTGATCCGACCAAGATAAGCATGGCCATGCGACAAGGATTATGAGATAATCCGGTTTGTGGTCGGCATCACTGGAACAAGAAAAAGGTCAGGCTAGCACAAGGATGTCAGACTCTCCTTGAGCTCGATAGCATATATCATGTGGCAAAGGGAACATAAGTGTGACATGTTGTACAGGTTCGCCAACCGATTTCATTGTCTACTTAGTGGTCGGCACACTGCTAGAGGGCGCTACCAGCCGAGCAGGTCGGAGGTGATCCGACCTGCGACCAAGCCGACTTGAACCTAAGGGGTCGCATGCTTAAGGGAAGGAACCTGTGAGGCCCGATCCGACTCCACGAGTCAGATGTGATCCTACTCGGACTCAGATCTAGGCCGAACAGACTTTGGGCTTTAGTGTCCATGCGAGGTCCAAGTGTTGAGCCCATGACGGATGCCTATATATAGTGGAGGTGCATCATACTCATTCGGTTGATCGCTTCGGCGCCGGGACTAGGTTCTGCATGTGCTGCGAATAGCCACCTCCACTTGTCGTCGACTGTGTGATCGGATCTAGCAGTCCACCGCATGGTGTTCCCCCTGCACGCGTGGATACCGCTAGAGGTGTTGCACTTGCGCCACTTCGGCAAACCAGTGCGTGGGATCCGACGACCGGTTGTTCGAGGGAGATCAGACAAGGAGGAGACGAACCACGCGGACGCGCTGCCCCAACTATTCTTCCGCTGCACGGCACTGCGCGTCTAGTGGTAACAATCCGTGATTTATTTCCTGTAGCATGTTCTTGGATGTTTTGCGCGTAGGAATTTTTGATTTGCAGTCGACGCACCCTACTGTAGAACCTAACAGAGGTATCTTCTAGTTTGATCAAAGAATGGGCTCAATGTGGAAGCAAATTGTTTTGGCCGCATGGACTCCCCCTTAGAGCTCCTCCCCGTTCCATGCGTCCCGACCTCAACCACGCTCCCATCGCCCAAAGTTCGTTGCCACAATACTATCCTAAACCCGCCTCACCGCCAGCCCACGCCCATTCGTCGCAACCGTCCTGCTCGTCACCCTCCAAGGTCGACCGAGCTCGGGTGTCGCCACCCTGTTGTAGACTACAAACTCACCGCACCAGCACCAGAGAGAGAGAGACCAAGAAGGAGATAGGGGAAGGAAAAAACAAAAAAGGAATTCAGAAAGAATTGGCCCACTGACATGTGGCCACATATCTGGTGTATGTTGGTGATAATGTTATTCGGGATCTGCTAAACCAACCCCTCCCAATAATCAGAAAACAGGTATTAGGATAGCACAATACCGTATTAGGGATGGAATATTGGGGATTCGGTGGAGATGCTCTAAGAAGGCAGGATATGTTGTGTGCTAACACTACTTGAGCTAGTAGATATTGACTAGATAATGGTAATAATTAACATATATAGCAACCATAATCATGGTATAATCAAACAATACACATGCATTATGAAGACACACCCTATATATATTGGTTGCCACATATCCATTTCACTACTTACAAAAGTACTAGTTAAGGTTTGGCACAAATCATCTTATTCATCCAATTTGATCTACATAATCAAAATTAAGTTGAATATCTGAAATCCTAAGAGTTATTGCCTCAATCTGAATTTGTAAGCGTCACATATATATTTTAATAAAAAGTTTGACCATTAATTTGGTCAACGAAATATTAATAATCAAAAAGTATATCATTAGATTCAGATTCAAGAGAAGTTTTCAACGATATAATTTTTGTGGCGTATGAATCGCATTTTGTTGACCAAATTAATGGTTGAGGTTTTTATTAAAGTGCATGCGAGCCCTATAACCAAGTACTGATGGACGTTGATTGCATAGCTAGTGACCTAATAACACCACATAATTGGTGTTTGCAATTGCAATACTGCTTTCTACATCACTAGCTAAATACACGTGTGTTGCAATGGGGACTACTTTATTCTAGTGGTTCAACGTAGAACTTGTTTGATTGGGTTGAGATTGAGCTATGTTTTGGGAAGGGAATCCATAGGGAAAGGTAAGGGAAAGATATGATGTAATTGAGATTGTGTACGTGCAGCTACGCGAGTTGATCTTGTTGTTTGCTTGCAAGGGATTTCTTGTTTTTTGGTGATTTATTTGATTTTTGTTGATTGCCTTGCAAGGGATTTCTTTCCCAAAAAATGAGGAAGTTTGAGAAAAAAGGGGGATTATCGCGTGGTTTGAAAAAATCGGTGGGAGTGGCATGTATCGGTGGGAGGTGTGGAAGCGAAACCAACAAACTCCACTTTTATAGTAGAATGTCTTAAATTGCGCATGCAATCCCCTAATAACACCATTCTACATAGACGACTAAACCATCAAAATATCATCTCAAAGGGTGATATTTGTTAACTACCTTCTGGTTTAGTTATACTAAAAGGCCATCCGCCATCCAATAGATTTCCAATTAATTCTAAGAGGTAAAAGTTAGAATGTGCCTAAAGTTATTACAAGATACTTTTGAATGTCTTACTATATTTTAATATATTAAAAATGTGATAAGTTCACAGATTTACATAAAGTAATACGTCAAGAGTTTGGTGATCTTATATTGCAGGAGACTTAGTTTATATAGTGGACACAATACACATTTGCTAGTAAAAACATACGAAAATAAATAAATATGATCAATATCATGAGAGAAGTTTTCATCCGAGAAACTAAAACGTTGTGCAAACTACTATAGAAGAAATAAATGATGCACGGAAGAAGTTTGTTAATTTCATGGAAGCCCAACTCGGGCATAGATTAAATCAACCTAAGTGAAATGACTAGCATGGCATATATGTGTCACATCCCAAAAACAGGAGCAATTTTCAGCACGGCAGGTGTATTTCACGTTCACAAAAGGAAAGAAGTTACCGGAACCAAATAAGTAATTTAAATGTGCGCACAATGTTTGTGGTTGAGTTTGTGTCACTACGTACTATCTCAAGATACATGTGTCAGACCTTTCTATATATACATGAACTAGATAGTGCTAATTACTTCGATAATCCTTTGTGGTCTATTACACAAGAAATTGTGCAACATCCTACATCAAGTAGTGTCGAACAGATAAAAGTGAAGAATTGTATAACTGAGAACAAAGACCCACATATCGAGCGTGAATAGGAAAGTTGAAGTAACAAAAGTACTTTATATCAATCAATCAATGTCGAGGAAGTCAAAGTGGAAAGGAATTAAAGAAAAGGCAAACTATGGAGCGCCAAACCATTCGGTTGATCTAGAAGAATCATGGTAGCAACTAAAATCAATAAAATGAAGCAAATAGGATCAGAAGAACCAAAGGACTAGGGTAAAAACTAGTCAAACGATGCTAAACATCTAGATTCGGAAGAATTGTGAAAAAGAATAGTAAAAAGCAGCATGCAGCGAATTGTGGTACTGCAGCATGGCATGCAGCACTTGTGTGCTTTCTTGAGACTCGGCTCCTATCTTTGATCACCCAAGACGTAATGAAGGGAAAGAAATTAAGGAATGTGTTATAAGCCTATAATTAATGAAACGCTAATTTTTCAGAGTTGTTTCAGTCGTGTGATTGCTCTCGTGTATAAGGCTCGGCTTTGATCGTGTCTCGCGGGGATTTCAGAGACACGTTCATACTGCTTAATGGCACATTGCCTAGGCATGATCAAGTACAGTTTGGACGCCCACGCTAGCTCCCCATACCGAAAGTAACACCCACAAGTGGTGGTGCTCCAGAAATTGCCAGCTGAGCATGCCAAAGAGAGCACTAGCTAGGTGGACTAAGTGATCATAAAATCAGAGAAACAGTATGAAATAATCGAACCCCGGCCTGGGGAAAAAGGTCAATTGCCGAAACATCTAGGCATATGTACACATGTACACTACGTAGCACATTGCATCACTACAGCCTTGTCCACACAAGAGAAGGGGAAAGAAGAAGACGGAGACCCCAAATAGATATGTGTATAGGGGAATTATGAGGCCGATCATGGGGATGCGACGGGTTAAATTGGAGCTAGCAGATCATCATACGCACGCACAAATCATAGCGGCACACACATGCAATACAGCGAAATCCTCAAATGACATGCAAATAAGGAGCGGGCGCACACGCGTCAGGCCGTCAGCTAACATGCAGCTAGCGTGCGGAAGGGATCGGGGGTGACTGGTCACTACACCTTGTTGCTGTGCGGGTAGTCGTAGAGGAGCGTCGGCGGCGAGAAGACGGAGTAGTCGTTGTCCAGCAGCTGCGATTCGAAGATGTCCTCCTCCTCGTCGCGGTCGCCGTCGCCGAACGCCGCGGCGGCGAGCTCCGGCTGCCCTCCAGCGGCGGCGTGGCCGGGGGCGCCCGCGTCAGGCGTCGACCCAGCCGCGCTCCCCTCCGGGCTGAGTTCCTGGGCCGCGCCGCCGTCGTCGGTATTGTACTTGGAGGGGTCGGCATGGCGGCCCGTGAGCTCCTGGACGAGCGCGCGGAAGCCCGCCGCGTTGGTCTTGACCCTCATGGGGTTGGAGATGTACACCACCTTGATCGGCTTCTTGCCCCCGCTGCCGCCCGCCTTGCTGCCCCCCTTGCTGCCCCCCTTGCCCGAGCTGCCGCCGCTCCGGGGACTGGGGCTCCGCTGCTGCTTCCGGTGATCCATCAGCTGAGCTCGCTAGTGGATGGGCCGGCAGGAAGGGGAGCAGCGAGGCGATCTGGTTCGTCTCAGAAGGAAGAGAGGGGAGTGAGGGCTTCTGCTGCGGCTGGTCCTGGCCATGTACGAACAAAGGCTACTGGCATTGTGGGGGATTTTTAGCTCAACATACACGCGGATGGGAGTTGGGAGGGAGCTAGCGAGGCGTCCTGGAAGGAGTAGAGCAGTAACTCGGGGGAGGAGCCGCGAGCCCGCTTTGGATGGATGGACGGGACGATGGAGACAACGCGGAGACCGGGCGGGCGCTCGCATTGGAGGATTATACGGGGCCGCTGGCTACGCATGTGACCTAGAGAAAAAAGGGTAATCAGCTACAGCCACAACAATCACATATACTGTACTATTTTTTTTCTTTTGCGGGGAATCACATATACTATTATGTACGTATGGTGTTTTGTTTGGAAACTGTTGGCTCGTTTTTATGCAGAGAAACACAGAATTGCATTTCTTCTGCTAAAATTTGTATGCCTATCGTGTTTGTCCAATTCATGCCTCAACCCACAAACATACATGGCTTTATATCATTTGCTTCTGTCAAAATCACTTTCTGGTGATTCTGACTTTTTAAAACTATCAAGAAAGTATTGCACGCAAATTTTATGGCCAAAGTACAAAAATGGACAGCCAAACCATGTCCTACATTTTGCAATGTGGGGAATACTAGCAAGTTGCCTTTTTGAACTACAAAGAACCAGAAAAGCTGTAGTTGCTTTTTACAATTATTACAAAGAAGAACAAGAAAATGTAGTTGCTTTTTATAACTTATTTAGTCAAAAAATTCTCAACTCACGGGAGTGTACAAAATAAGTACGAGCAACTTGTGGAAACTGGAATATATAGAACAATATATATTTGATGCAGCTGAATTTAAACTTGCCTATACACAAACGAACTATTTAAATAATAAATTGTTGCTACTTTAGGAAGATGTGAAATATAAAAACAAAAAATATATTGCCATATATGCAAACAAATACCATTACAGGGGTGCCACATGGTATGATTCTTTTGCATGTTTTATAGTATCTACTACTACTGACATTAGCAAGCAAGGAAGCTTTCGCAAAAAAAAAAAAAACAAGAAAGGAAGCTAGTTTAATTAAAGTGGCCACCCTGAATGGTTGACTAAACTCTATGTTGTTTATCCAGACTATCGCTACAGAGCACCTCTATAGCTCTTGGCATCACTTTTAAGATTATATATGATCATGTTATAACTTTTGGGCCGTAGTTCAGCCTCAGGAAAGAGTGGTGTAATCCTGGGAGAGAAAAAAAAAGGAAGAAAGCATACAAAGAGATGAAATGACGGTGTGTGTTTCAATTACTCGGAGGGCGGAGCGCATGGGTGGACGCAGCGTTTGGCGGGCGGCAGCGGGAGAAGGGGTGCGGTCCACGAGGAAGGTTAATGAGAAAGCGCAAACAACTGAGACAGAACTACGTACGGGGCCCAGGCCGCGATTGCATCCACGACGTGGCGCGCGGTCACAGGGTGGGCCTGCGTCAGCAGGGGGCCCGACGCTGACGTGATATATATAATAAAAACCCCGGGAAACCTTTCCTCACCGCCCGCCATGGCTTACCCCCGGGCGCGCACCCGCAGCGCGCGCTCGCCGACGCGTGGGCTCTGCTCCGGGGCTCCGGCCAACCAGAGCGCGGGGCGGGGAGGGGCTGCGGTGCGCGGAGGGAAAATGAAAAGAAAGAAATAATGCAGCGCGCTGTGGAGTGTCAGGCCGCGTAGGTGGCGGGCCCACGGGCCGGAGGCGGGACGGGGAGAGAGCGACCCATTGCAGTTGAAGCTCTCTGCTCTCTGCTGCTGGGTGGCGCCCGGACCACACGTCCCCGGCAGGCTCAATAAGGCAATGCCATTGCACCACTCGGGCGCACCAGTTGCACGACCCTGTGGCTGCGTACGTCCGCATCTCTGCTGCCACGATCCATATCCACCGCAGCAGGTTTCGCTTGCTCGCCCACATGCTTCTGCTCGGCCACCGCATGCTTTTATGGCTGGCCGTGTTCTACCGCCCGCTGTCGCTGGGCTGTCCATCCGGTCATTTTCGAGACAGAAACACTTTGGGGGAACTGGTCGTCCACTTGGCTTGGAAGGGATGGGAAATGCCATCCTTGTGGAAATTATGTTCTTCAGGCTGTGTGGTGGACGTGGAGGATGCTGGGACATCAGTTCGGTCGGTGTGCTCGTGCATATCCAGGGAGATGCATGGCCAAGCCATTACATAGGTTAACCGTCGGGTCCTGATATTTCACGCATTATTGCTGTTTTATACCAAAGACCCACGTAGAACTTCCATATATACCAAAACAAAATTTATGCCCGCCTTTAAAAGTGGATGTTTCTATGGACGTGGAGTTTCTTAGACCGAGTTCATGTGAACTCGGGTGAACAGCAAAATCCAAACAAACATTGAAAAAAAACTGGGGTTTCTTGTGAACAAACATTGATGTGTGATTCACATGCGTGAATTTCGTGACGAAATAAAACTTGTGAAGGTTTGGGCAAAAAGCATCAAAATCAATGCTCCAAAAAGATTGTTTGGAAGCATTTTAGAGCATCAACTTTTTTGTCCACACTTTCACATTTCATGTCACAAACACACCAATGTTTGCTGCCCAAAAATTCTTTTTTTATTTTTTTTACCTATTTGTTAAGATTTTACCGTTCACCAAACTCATATTAGCTCGAGCTAAGAGGAGGAGACTTTCGGTGTTCCTATTTCCCCGTTGTATTAGGTGAGTACTAAGATCTTGATCCTAAGGTTGAAAGGTGACCAAATAAAAATGATTAGCTTGTAAAAAGAAGCAAGTGCGCAGACATGTCATGTAGAAACAAGTGGGATAAAAATAAAAATTTAGAAGTATGCATGATCACTAGTACATAATCAGGCTTTGCAGGCGGTTTTGAAACATGGGCATGAGGCGGTTCGCCGTTCCGCCTAAAAGCACGTGT